TTTACAATGGGGAAACCATCCGGAGCCGCTTCTGAAGGCCACAGCATGCGGCTACAAAAATCCAGCATGTTTAAAACGTAAAGAATTTGTTACAAGAGTTGTACTTTACTTCAACAATATTGAGTAATTAATATTCGGCTAAATTATAAGGAATAGCCTTCACTCCAACGTTTTCTACTTCTCATGTTTTATTCTGTCTTTTATCCTGTCAAAATTATGCAATTATCTTCCAACAACAAGTGATTTACAAAAGATATAACTCCCAAAACATTTTTGAAACTTGACAGCTGTCTTCTTCGACTTCGTATTTCGCGATAAGATTTGGCAAAACCCGAATAATTTTTATCCTTCTATGCCATTTTTTGATTCACGCGTAATAATATCCATATTAGCAGATTTGCTTCTGCTGGTGTTAGATTATCACTGAAGTTGTCTTCTCTTACTATAATTTTGAACAAAATTCACTGTTCTTTACAAATTTTTTTTTATTCTGATTCTGAAGTGAACTTCTGGAATTTCCCTTAAACTATAAATTGTTTTCATGTTTTTTCATCTCTTTCTATTAAATTATTTTTGTTTAAACTACTACCTTATCATAAATGTTTTGATATTAAGCTCGCATTTAATATTTGAAAAACTTGAACGGTACCACTTGGACTAATTAAAAAGGATTAAAAAATTACACACTATTCTTGGGCAATGAAAAAACATTTTTTTTGTGTAAAAATATTTAGCCACATTAAAGTGATCAGTAACGAAAAAAAGCATGAAATTAGATGCCTTGATACTAAAAAATTCCTTTTTCACTCTTGCTTTTTCATAAAGATAGATGTTTTTCGGACGTTTTTTGCCGTTCTTTAACTCGATTAGAGATCCCACAAACTGACGATTGCGAATAAGTCAATAAAACTGAAGTTTGCAGGTATACTAAATCTATTTACAACACTTTTTAAATATCCAAGTCAAAAAGTTCTTATAATGATGATAAAGTACTGTTGCCCGAAAACACTCGACAGCTTTATTTTTGCTTTTTTCTCCTCATAGACAACGATAAAGTACTTTATACAAGTTCTTTTTTACAGTTGTTTTTGAAAGTTACTTAGATCAAAAAAGCAGATGGATTTTGCGAATAAAAAAAACGGAAGGAAATTAATGCTGCTGTAGAAAGTGATCGGAGAAAGACATCAGCACACTTCTGCAATAAAAATCGGATTCTCGTGAGCAGCAATAAAAGTGAGGCTCATTGTAGAAGGTGAATATTTACTAAAAAATTTTCTAAAAATTTTATCAAAAAAATTAAGCACAACATTTTTTCCAATTTTTTTTTAACACTGTACGCAAATACAGAAAAAAGTTTTAAAGCACAGTTCCTTCTTTCCGAAAAAATTAGACTCATATCAGCCTTCCGTGTTGCTCCTCCTCTGTCTTCACTACGCTTATGATGAGAAACAGATTCTGTCTATTCAGCAAAAGAAAAGCAGACTCCTATTTTCCTAACTACTTAAAAATCTCTGAAATCGAGGGGCGTGCACAGTAACACTCCTTTACACGACCTTTATCATTCCTTTTCAATATAATTGACGGTAACTGTTGAAGCATACATTGACACTTACGCTAAGTCAAGGCTGTACTACGTTACTAAAATTTTTGATCTTAGTGCTCATTCACTGAGACCGACGGTACTAGGTTGATGGCGAATGAAGCTTGCCGACGATAACGTAGCACCTAATATTTGTTCTAATGAAGTTGGTCGGCAGCATCTTGAGATTTTAAGCTGCTGCCTGTACTTAGCAACCCTATTTACTCAATTATTCCCCAAGTATTTTAATCTGAAGAATGTTTGAGGTATGATACTGGAGAGCACAATTACAAATACGAGTGCTTTGAACACTTTCGTAATTCTCGCTAAGACGACTGTGAAGAAGCTGCCAAATGAATAGAATAGACAACCAGAAACCAACTAAAACGAGTGAAGGTTTAAATTCGAAGTTGACGGAACTGACAAGCTGCTATAGGCAGGACTTGTCTGGAACCAAAACAAGGCTGGAAAGGAATGAGTTTACCGATAGTTACCGTTTAATTGGAGAAGATCCCGGACAATGTCGCTGAAGATTGAATTTACTCTATGGTAACTTAAAGAATTCATGACTGGAAGAGTATCTTGTTCTTTTTTTTTTTCTGATTTATATCTGCTTAAAGAGACAACTTTCTTTTTCATAACTTCTTCCTGCTGTTAATAACAAAACTTTTGTTGCTATCGTTATTTGCTGTTGTCATTATGCTAATGGGTGGTCATTAAGTTTTAACTAAATTTGTCAAATGTTTAATTGAATGATTTCAATGCTCCTAAGCCCATTCGTCAAACCTTTCTTGATATTTGGCAAATAAAAGAAAAAGTGTGTCCTCGTTCACTTATTTGCTTTATATAAGTATTTGACAAGTCTTAGTTTTATATTGTAGGTATTCTTTTTCTTTTTTACCAAATCTTCACACCACATACTATTGACAACTTTTTTTTCAACTTGCTTCATTGACCTCCGAAGCTGGTTCAATGTTTTCATATTTTAAATTTTAAAAAAAAAGAACCGGAATTTGAAATATATTGTACCCAAGAAAAAGCTGCTTCTTTGGAAATTTAAACAACACTTAGAAATTCCTATCAAAGAGAAAAATAGTCGTTTTTCCTACAGTCGAGAAGGGAAGTGCAATGCAAAAGTTTGGTTTACTTTTCAGCATATAGCTCCCGCAAACGTATTTATTAACACAGTGGTAATCTGCTAACAATACTCAACCTTCTCCAAAACAGGCATTTTATCCTCTAAAATTTTTTCATCAAATTAGGATTGAATGCTCATGTATAAATTTTTTGAATAATATCTGCCTCTCCAAAGGACTTTGTAGCATAATTCATTTCTAGTTTTTTTTTTTTTAAGAAAAATAGTGTACACTTCATCTGAAACTTAGAAAAGTTATATTTCTTGTGGTATCTTCCACTATGGACAAGATTCATAAGAATGCCATGCAGAGTTTGTTCGCCGTCTAAAAAACATGCGAAGAAGGGGACCGGTCCGAAAAACACTTGGTACCAACGAAAGCAGCTTTAAAAATCTGTTGCTTTTTTTCCCTCGAAAAATGCCTTGGATATTCCATCGTAGCCAGTTGAATCTTGACAGCTCGTCTCTAGGCTCTGGTCTATCAAGTTCTTTTGTTCTTCGATCAGAATACAGCCAAGAGGAACCTCCCACTGCACTCCTTTAACGCACACATGAAATTCCCTCTGATACAAACTCCTCCAGAGTCTAAAACTCAGCTTATACGCTGGCTGTGCCATTCCGTACTACTTGTACGGTGCCTTTTCCATATATAATCCTCTTCTTTTTTTCTGCGTCAGTTCTTTTCGTTCCTGAGCAACACTTCAAAAAATCATTTCGCTCAGTCAAATCTTAATCTAGATATGGAACAGAGACAGCTTATGGTACAAAGCATTCTCTACATCAAGAACAACGGTGGAAATTGAACGTTAAGCAAGTGGACGAAATTCCGATCGCTATAAGTTCAGCTCCCTAAAAATGCAAAAATAGTTTCTTCATAACGTAATATGATCGACTGCTAAAATACAAAAGGACGTCTAACCTGATGTATTCATGCGAACTGTTTAGCAATGACGCACAGTCTGAACTTGCTGCTACTCATTAACTTTATTGATCTAATAAGGTTAGTGTTACAGTATTTAATCAACCGCATAAAAACTATGGCCAAAAAAGAAAAACGTGACTTTAAAGAAGGAAAATAATAACTTTGTCTAGCGCCCTCTTGAAGTTATGAAAAATGCTTTAGTTGTCCAATTTTAAAGTGTTATCCAATTTTAAAATTAGTCGTACAAACGAGATTTGCATTAGTCAGCCCCGTTCCAGAAACGCTTTTACGCTAAACAAGCTTAATTTGTCCTTTCAATTGAAAAAAAGCTTCTAATACTCAAAGTAAAGAACTACGCAAACCACTACAGACGCGGAAGTTACGAGTAAATTTTAGCCAAAGATAAAAAACTCCTAAAACCAAGTGGGCATTACGAGAGCCATGGAACTGTTCTACAATTTACCTTAACTTTTTATTTACAATAATCGTCACACCAATTTTCACTCCTACCACAGCAAGCTGATAAATGTAAAAAATGTGAGGAACAGTCTTCTGCAAATATACTACGAACTATACATATAAAATGCATTAGGAATAACTTGAGGTGGACTCAGGAGTACTAGTCCGCCGCTAGTGTCAACTACACTGCCAATGCAACTTTACACTCACTTAACTATTCCATTTGGAAGATAACCAATGCACCTACAAAAAGAAAAATTTTTAGATGTCGTTTTCATACGTCAAGGGTGTAAACTATACAAATAATACAAAGGAATTTTTCTTAATCACGTCACTAAAGCTTAGCAACACACAACCCTACACTTCCTTACTCTGTTGTATTCAAACAAGTTTTGTGTAAATAAGCTTAAACATGTTTCCGAGACCCTGGCAAGTGAACAAAGTAAAAAACTCCTTCTACAAAAACTGGCTTAAAAGTATTGGCGAAAATGCATTTTAAAGAGCCCACCATGAGCTACAATAGTGAAAAAGGTCTGAGATTTGTAAAGTTTTGATTTACGGCTGATTTAAATCCCTCAAACACTGTCGATCGTCTGCAACTAACAGATAAAACGGATAAACCACACTTAAGAGCTAATTTTTACGATACGAACATATATAATCAGCAAAATAAGTCCAGACATAGGATACTGGCAAGCAGACCAATCAAAGGGCTAACGAACAACAAAGGCAGCTGAAACATTTAACTGGGAAATGAAAGAACAAGATGAACAGAAACTATCTGTTCCTGGGCACTTACCAAATATACGGCATCCCAACTTTCAACTTATCTGATTTGAAATAAATTTTGTGGCAAACAACAAACAGTCACTTTCCTTATACATTTGTGGTACTTCCTCCCTTGAACTCTGAAGATACTTAAATTGGATCCATCGTGACCCAACAGGTTTCAAGTGCAGCTTTAAACCCGACCTCACCGCTACTCTTTCTTCTTAGTTAATGGAAACCTCTAATCTTCTCAACCCCTTACTAATTCGTTTCTGAACCTAAAACATAGAACGGTTAACCTTACGCAACGAATAACGGCCGCAAAAAAACCTACTTACGCCAAAACAATCGTACGAAAAACAAACAAATTCTTCTCTACACCGGATAGCCCCTGCTGAAATTAGATACCAATCTATTTACAACCCAACTAATGAGTCAGTCGTTAGCCGCAACTACCTAACTTGGCAGAGAAAAATTCGAACCTATCAAAAGCATAACTCAGCTTTCCTGATTACCTAAGTTTCCGGCAGAAGCGCTTATAAACTGTTCACCTTACTTGAGAAACAGTGAAAAAGTTTATTACAAGTTACTTACATCTGTGAGACCTTTCAGATGTTATAACACTTCAAACGTGAAAACATCAATGAGACAATGGAAGAGGGAACAAGATCAAAAACTTCTGAAATGCTGCCTGCACCACACATTTACCGGCGAAACCGCTCGATAACCGCTAAACAGAAAAGAACTGCAATTCTACTAAAGCAAACACACTAACAAAAGGCTCCTCGTTATTGCTCATGAGAAGACCAATAAGTTATCAAAAAGCATCGACAACAAGGCAATACGGAAATAAAATGAAAGTGCAAAGGTCTTTCTAACTACTTACCACTCAGCAGTCGAAAGAAGCCAAAGTGAAGTTATCCACACGATCTTTTTTCTGCCAGACACCAAAGCCACGATCCTTTAGCTGGTCATAAAACGCTGTCACCGCACAGTTGTAGATTGTCGCTGCTTGCTTTGCTTCCGCGCAGGACCAGTTCAGTCTTTCTTCGTTGAACCCTACAGTTGCCAAAAGACGATTCCAACTTTCAAATAATTCACTTTTACTTAAGCGTGAAGGAGCACCAGCAACAGTTCTACCTGTGGCCGGGTCCAACCGTTCTAGCATTCCTGCAAACAACAACTTCAGTTAAAAACAAACAGAATTTAAAAACACCATCACCATCATTCAAGCATGTTTCTCTGCAGAGCCTTGTCTTCGTTGTTTAGCTTTTCCCAACAACCCAACTTTGTGTTTCCAAAGCTATACAGGTTTTCTTTTTGTTTTCAATCTACTTGATTTTTACGTCTTACCTCTCTTCTTTCACGCTGTTAAAGAACTCTTCTTTGGCAAATTAAACAAAAAGTAACTGAGAAATAATGAAAATCAAAAAATTTCTACTCCATCACTTCCACAACGGCAATTCAGTGTTCATTAACGGGTGCTTTAACTCACTGCTGGATTACGATATAACTCACCAACTTCTGCAACCCAATTGTGATAAATCTCTCCCTGAGGACGAACAGCCGAATGTCCTGACTTAACTATGAATTCATTTTTACGCCCATCGTGAAAACGCAGCAAGACGGTATTGGCAATCACCCGGTCATTAGATGGCACACCAATGAAGTAATGCGATATGAAAACTGGTTCGACTAAGTACGACAGCAATGCCCCTTGCACACCTAAAATGAATAACTTTCAATATCCGATTTCTCTTCCTTCTTTTCCGGAACACAAAAGCAAAAAATGTGTAGGTGTTTCGAAAGCAAAAAATGTGTAGGTGTTTTGAAAGCAAAAAATGTGTAGGTGTTTTGAAAGCAAAAAAGTTAATAAGCAAACATCTACACCTAGAATTTGCATGTACACAACTTGAAGATGACTTTGCTTACACAAAATTGACGACTGAAGAGCTGTTAAATTAATAAAACAATAAACTCGCGCGGAAATAAAGAATAAAAAACAAGAATACCCAAATGATTCCACTTTAACATTTTATCTGCTACGCTCATAACATTAACGCATCCACTAGAAGTGATTTCTTCAAAAGTCTGTACTGTCTCAGGAGTTGCACAAGGCAGGTTCGCATTTCCAATATAACAACATAACCTCTGAGGTTCAGAGGTGGCGCGAGTAACATTTGGAGGGAAAGCAGTGTACAGAACCACCTTATAACCAGCCTAAACAATGCCATAATCCGCAAGAATCTCCTATGATCAAAACCACAAAAGAAAGAACACCCAATAAACTGGAAACTAAAATTCAGACCCCACTAAAAAAACTGCAATAATTTAAACAATTAACAACACTTGCACATCAAGGTTTCAATTCAAACGACCTTCAGTCGGTACTTTCCAGCTTCAGTCTTTTCAAAAACAGAATCAGCTGTTCCATATTTCTCCAACTGTTTGTGAAGATATAATAAGAATGCTCGTCTTGCTAATACAGCACCTAAAATTTAAACATTGGTGAGCTACCTCCTCACCAAGAAAATCAAAAAAATAAATAAACAAATGAAAAATTAAACTGACATTGCATGTGAATTAACAGCGAACCCTGACTGCTTTTCAAAGCACGACCATCGATAATGGCATTCCTTCCAGCCCCTAACGCAGCCATAAATTTTTTACCATCTGGCGCAATGATAACAAACCTTAAAAAGTGAAATTATTCTAGCCCATATCTGAAATACAACAGGAAGAAACTTACGCTGCAATATGCGTCGTAAGCGGACATCCTTGAACTTGGCAAATAGACTCATACTCTGTACGAACTAACGAACAGACAGCATTACACAATTCAGCAGTTTCGTCAACTCTTTGCCGTTTTGAACTGAGAGCTTCAACAGCGCCTTCTGCGTAAATATCAAACTAAAACTAACAGAAGTTGACTCCGATTAAAAAAAAAAAAAAAGAACAAAAAAATTATGGCAGTACAAAGCAGATATAACGGTTACAAAATAAACATATAAACCATAAGCTGTTCACCTTAAACATTTCATTTAATGCCTTTTCTGCAGCAGCACTTTTCGCAGCCTTCTTAGAAGACCCGGTACCTTCGAATATCTCTTTCTGATTCAAAGTTACTGTACACTTAAACAGCGGTCCTTTATTGGGCCCTCCACTTATATCTACACCATCAGAGTACACAACGTCCGGACGCGGGTTCCGCTAAAAACCAGATTTCTAGCAAGCTTCAAACTAAAACCAATTTTTGCCTATTACTAGAAAAACCACAAGAAATATCACCATACTTTGAAATGAGTTAACTAAATAGCATAACCTGCCGAATTACACTTTAAACTATCTAACCCTCTACTTCAGCGTTGGTCTGCTACTTCGACCCAAAGCTTTAAAAAGGCTAACTCCGAATGTATGCAAATAAACGTAAGGAACAAATCCATAACCCACTCACAATTAAAAAATGTAAAAATGTGAATTCCTAGCGCAAAAATCCCCAGGACATGAGAAAGGTAGCAAAAATCAAAAACAATTCAAAGACTGTGCAAAGCATCAGGTAAAATCAGGCGCCAGATAGAATAAAAATCAGCTTGAATAGGAAAATAAGACTGAAAACGTCAAATCCGAAATGAGGACCGTGGGAAACTAAGTAGAAAAAACGACAAAAAGAATGAGAGATATAACTTCATGACAACTTAAATTTATTTAAGATAATGATACAGAAGGTCTAATTATCAACCTATAAACGAAAAAAAAAGTTCATTTACAACTAATTTTGTAACTGCGAAAAGGAGCTCCGCATCTAAAAAAACTCAGCCCTCACACCCAGAGCCTCTGACAGTAGATTAGTTTTAGAATGTACAAACTTAAGATAATGACAACTGTCTACCTTGCAAAAAACAATAACAAAGAAGCAGAAGTAATGACATACGTATTGTTTTATCATGAGTGTATGAAGAGCATAGCAAGGAGAGAGTATGATCGAACCCTTTTTCACTCCAGTTACGTTTGTCGGCATTTCTAAACCAAGTTCTTCCGTGATAACTTTTATGCACAACGCATCCTTTGCCTTCTGCTTACTCTCCTCTAACGGACCAACAATCACTTCTATAACAAAGCTAAGAACAGTAACGAATATATATGACCTGTCAACCCTAAAAGCAGAGTAAATTTTAAGATATAAAAGCAAAAAAACTCTTCAGTTAGGATCACTTCATTTTCTGCAACGCTTCGCGTTTATAAGCTACAATGAAAAAAAAAAGTATCAAACAAAAGGAGTGAAATCTCGAAATATTGCTTAGCAATAAAACTGACCTACATCACTAATCTGAAACTCTATTTAAAAACTAAACTAAAAAGCCAATTTTTTTAAACTCTTTAATATGTAAGATAAATTAACCAGTAACCACTGCTCAGAAAACTGCCTAACTGCAAATCTTAATATGGAGGGCTCCTAAAATGCCACAAATACTAACCAAGCTCTGCATATATGTTAGGCTTGAAACAAATCCAGTTAGATAAGCGACTTCAAGTCGCCTCAAATCCGCTAAAAGTTTAGAAAAGAAACATGCAGATGCGGCAAGTATCGTTCAATTCCGCTTAACGCCTTCTTTAAAAAATACAAAAACGAAACACGCCGCAAAAGCATGCTTACTCTCATTATCCAATATACATTTGGCCACGAAACGGCTATTTGGTTCCACAGGCTTTTCATCACCAGTGTCACTATCGATACACACTGAGCGATCGTAGAAACTGAGCGCTTGCAGGAGCACCTCAATTAAATATTATCACCACACAACATTCAAAAAGCGAATGTGTCAAACCAATATGTCATTACTATTAAAATGTGACTATCTATTTCCCAACTGTCATGAAGACCCATGTACCATTTAAAAAATATAATAAAATTAAAGAAAAACTCTCACTTCTGGTCGGAATCTTAAAAGAAAAAAATTGAAGAAACAATCCGGAACTGCGGCACTTCACGTAAAACCCTAATGTAACCTTGACTTTGACACTTGCATTCGCTTCGAAGTTGTGAGATAATAATATATAATAACAATTTCCAGTAAAAGATATGCTTTTAAGTACCTGCATAGGCGGGCCGGGACGTAACGTAATTGCAGCTCTTTCAACTTCTTTTAACTCTGCAGAGCTTAATTTGAACAAGTCCAGCAGAGCCTTAAACAAATTCAAATTAAAAACTACTGAAAAGCTGAAACTTTTCAACGAAAAATACGCCCCTAAAAATTTTAAAAATATTCACAAACGTGACGGGCTAAGACATCAACTACTAGTACTCAGTTTCTCAACTAAGAAAAAAATAATAAACAAAACCTCTCTAATAACACAATTCTGAGCCGCTATTTTATTTGAACTTTCGCTGGTATACTGCTTCCCTTGATCACGCAGCGTCAACAAGCATCTAAAAATAAGAGTAAGGAAAGCTATGTGTGTCACACCGTACTGTAAGCTGAATTCCCTAAATTAAACTTACAAGTAACGTTTAACATTAGGCTTTAGTGGAGCACATGGAATTTGATTGCACTGAAAGACGGGTTGAAATTTCTCACCAGATGATGCTTCCTTTTCCTACAAATTATGTCCTCAATTTACCAGGTTAATTCCGTTCAATAAAATTGTGGAAAAACATCAAAACAAGCAAGACCGCCTTTACGTGAACTGAGAACAGAAGTAAAGAATTAAAGACTGTTAACTGCAAAAAAATACAGATCTCCAGCACCAGTTTTAAAAAGCTTTCTACATATCTTCAAAAAACTCCAAATTTCAAACTTACACGACACAGTCTAATGAAGTAATCGTAAAAATAGTTTGAATTCTTCGGATCGGATTTTTTCTTCTCCGGTTTCTGAAATAAAATAGTACATTTGAACAACTGAAACTTTAAAAATTAAAAATCCACAAATGAATGACTTATTCACACATCGACCTTTCCGGCTTGTTCCGCTAGAGCGATCATTTTTTCTTCCTCAGCTTTCTTGAAAGATGGCCCTTCTAAAATTATATCAGGACGCAACTCCTTCAGTGCGTTCTCACACGCCAGCTGAAAAATAAACAATTACAGGTTTCGGCCAAAGTGAAATAAGAAAAACGGAAATTAATAAAGCTAGCTACTGTCTTGAAAAATAAAGACAACTATGGGAACAAAATATTTAGCAAAACAATGATTTAAAAAATACATACTTGCTTAGCAACCTTCTTACTCGACCCCTCAGCAGAAAAGTTCTTTCCACGAACATTGAAACTGCACTTAAAACGTGGTATCTTGGCTGTAGTTTCGAGCTAAATATGCAAATCACAAGGCTTCAACTATTTAGCGAAGACGATGAGTAGTGAAAGAAATCAAGAAGTAAACTGACCGTTTCATAAACACAATGTTCCTTGAAATCGGGAAATAATTCATTTAAAACCATCGCAGCTGTTTTGCCAGTGGCCGAATATTTCTTCTCCCTGAGTGGATATTTCCTAGGTTTTGGGAAAGTAGTCGGTCGATTTGGACCGGGCTAAATAATTAAAATTCTAGCAATAAACTGGTCGACAGAAGTCTTACTGTTAAAAGCAAGTTTAATTCTCAACAATTATATAGACAGGGTCAGAAAATGTTTTTACCTGTCATCAAAAAACACCTTTATCTCAACTAAGGTCATAGATACAAGTCAAAACACAACATCCCAAAGCATAAAAGTTCAAGAAATATTCAAATGACTGCACAATGCAGCTTTATAGTTCGTACCTTCTGAGGAAATGCACGAGTGGAAGGACCTTGAAAACTGGCCCCAGATGTTGTCTGATCCATTAAAGGAGGTCTAAAGCCACTGTAGAAACCTCCATAAAATCCACCGTTATCAGTTAAATATTCAGGTTTGATCATTTCACTACCATAATTAGAAGGTGGAACTGTAACACGAGGCTGGTTAAAAAACACTGGAGGGGGTTGATCTTGCTCATACTGAGCGATTCTTGAACGTTTGGCTGGGATAACTTTGTTCCATCTTGCCGCATATGCATAGTCAGCCATGGCATTCAACTCGAAAACCTTAAAATACTTGATTTCATGAGGTAATTTTTATTGTACAAACAGGGTACCACTGCACGTCAACTAAGGTCAGAAACTTAGACGACCGAATGCAGGACGAGTTCACACCTCTTATTCCTACTACGCCCCAAGACATGGTTGTGACAACAGTAAAAATGAACGAAATGGTGACTTCTTGCATATGAGGAAACCCGTAAGTCCAAAAAAATAAATAAATAAAAATAAAAAATAAACTAAAAAGCACAAAATGCCTCATATTGGAACAAAACGCTCCATCAATTCAATATGATGTCTTACTAATCCGCTATAAAAGATCAAGAAAAAGGCGTATATCATCGAAATGGAAAAACATTTCGACCATCATTTGGCAAACCTTTTCTCGCATGATAAATTTCTGTACAAAGCAGATAGCACTTCAACAAACCAAAAAAAACTTCAGCACTACCTGACCCAAAGCTCACGACTCGACCACAGCTGAAAATTTTTTCAGTTCCCAACCTGAATGAAGCCGTAACATTTACTACTCTAAAATTTCCCCCTTTATTAAAACCATCCATCGCAGATCATTTTTTTTACTTCTTACCCTAAAACCTAAATCACCGTTCCCGCACTAATTTCTCATTTAAATAATTGTCCAATTCTTGATAGTGCCTTTTGCTCGCTTCCCCAACAGCTCACTAAATTGTCTAAATGCCAATAAAATGACGAAATATTGATG